TATTGACCACTTTACTGATATTGAATCATCAATGCATCCGATCTTTCAACTGACCTTAACCGTACTACTGTACTCGTGCACGTTGTGGTCATTACACATTACATAGGAATTTTAAATTCAAAATTAGTAGCCGAATCCTTCCGTACCTCTAAACTGCATTGGCATGCGGCGTCGAAAGCTAACAAAGTAGGAGGCAATAAGGATAGGGTTAAATTCATCATCTGTTTTTATTTCAGAGATGCCTCGCACCCAGACGGAGCTTGAAGACATCTTTTCATTTAAGATGTACCTTTTCCAGTTTGTGAACTTCTATTCGTCACTCTTTTATATTGCGTTTTTTAAACTCAGGTGAGTTTATGTCATGAGTAATCTAATGGCAACAATGGGAAAAAAGTTACTTAGAGTTCTCCTAAGAAAGAAAACTCAAAATCGTAGACATTTTCGATTGTCTGGGATGACTGACGACAAATCGGTTAAATCGAGAGCGCTTTTTTTTTACTGACGCAACCCAGATTTTTGCGATGATCCGCGATTACTGAAGGTTAATGAAAACTCCTATTTTGAACTGTCGTTAGTTTTAATTTGCTACCATTCCTTGGCTCCTGTAGCCCCGAGTCCCAAATGAAGTGGTGTCTGTTCTATTTTTCGCCAACCATCAGACAATCGGAATGTCTACGATTTCGAGTTTCATTAATTAGAAAACTCTGGAATCATCGAGAAATATTGAAATCACCGACTATCCGGGATTTTTCCCGCCAGCCTTAAGTGTCATTGTTTTTCTCACGATTTAGGCTCTTCGAATGACATGCAGATCGTGATCTTCCCTCACCCATTTGCTGTTGCACGGTTCTGCTGTTGTCTTGTTTCTTTGTGATGCTGTGTTGTGATACTGACGATCAAAAACAACAACAGGAGAGCCGTGTTACAGCGAATCTTCGAAACGCGCTAAGCTGTTGAGAAACAGCCCACCACATTGGAGCATAATGCTTCAGAAGGTGACTCGTATACACTCGACCTCATCACGTAAAGAAAACTCGCACTAAGCCATTGAAACGTCGCGATTCACATCAAAAGGAAAAACATCTTCAGAAAAATAGTTTTACATAATTACCAGTAGGAACTTTTATCTATTTACATAGAAGCGTTAAACACATTAAAAATTGTTTGGCATCACAGCGGTAGAATGAACGTATTGAATCATATTTTGAGAATATTTTCAACTGACAATTATAAGTTATCTGTTTAGGGTGAGACAGATTTTTTATGCATAATTTTAAAAATGGTACTGAACAGACCTACGGGGACAACAATTTTCGTCCCTCTGGAAGAAAGAACTGCGCTGACGAAAGAAAAAAAAAAAAAATGTTTGTTTTCAGCCCTGGAAGGCCAGCAGAATTTAACAGGATATTTGGTTTTCGACAAGAAGAGGTAAGAAAAAGTATTCGATATGTAAAGCTTTTTTTGTGACAGTTTAGGGTATTTAAAGCTGCATTGATCAGACGGTACTGTCGTCAAAAATTTGCGAGAAAAGGAAGGAAAGATCGTCTTTAGACATTGTTTGTAATTGAAGTAAATAATGTTTTTCGCCTTTGGTCCCATTAGTTGGACCAGTTTAAAAAGGACGCGTTTGATTAGAATTTATATCGTAAGGGTGTATGTGATGTTCGTTAAATTTGACAATGCAAGGTTTGCCGACTTGGAAATAGTTGCTTTAACAATTTGAATCTTATTTTTGACTTTTTTACCTCCTTTGGACAATATTAGTTCATTTCAATCAGAAAATAGAAAGTAAAATAAGGCATAAAAGTAACTGAAAATATCTTTCAAACATAGAGCAGTTGTAAAGGAGAATTCTGAGTTCATTTTTATGTTGTTCTGGCAGTGTAATCCGGCAGGTTGTTTATTTGAGCTCTTGGTTCAGCTGGCAGTTATCATGGTTGGAAAGCAGATCTTCAATAATTTTATTGAAATAATCGTCCCGTAAGTAGCCCGTAAAGAGATGAGGTACATTTTTAACGTTCCCGCTTTTTGAGACTTCATTGGACTTAAGGCAGGTTTTAGAAAATTACACATTTATGGACATTTACGTATTCTAATGTAATAACAGTTTACTGTTAACTAGGAGTATTTACGTTGTGCTCGATATACTTGGACAGTTTTGCAATACGACATACATATAGGTGTAATAGCTTATTGGAGAAGCACATTTATAGCGTAAGTGAAACACAGGTATAGTAATCAGAAAACCGGAATCGCTGAAAAAAAAAATCAGGGAATGTATTTGTATAGGTAATCACATGATTTCGAGTGCAATTTGGAATAAATAAGCACGAGTAAATTTTTTCAAAGACTAACAAAATTGCACGAGCCCGTAGGGCGAGTGCAATTTGTGGTCTTTGAAAAAATTAACAAGTGCTTATTTATTCCAAATTGCACGAGAAAAATCATGGGATTACGTGTTAATAATAGACATGAAAAAATACGAGATGGCTTATCATAATTAAGCAGAAGCAAAGCGCGCGCATCAAGAGCAAAAATAATTTATTCAAACCGTGCGTTCGGTCAAAACAACAATGTACGATCAAAACAATAATATGCGATGATATCTTCACATCTTTAAGGCGCAAAAAAGTTCAAAGTCCGGCTAAACAGTTCAAGGAATTGTTCAGTCTGTGTCCGAATCACTTTCGATGAAATGGAATCGTCGTTTTCGAGGTTTAACCATGTTTGTTTTTAATTTCGGCGTTGGATCGCTCGAGCAAAGTGTTAAGCAAGGTCGGCTTGTAATTTTTTATTTCCTTGGCAATTCCCTTCTCTAAAAACCACTTTTTCCAGACCGAAACCAAAAACAGTGCTTTTTACAGTGTTTTGGTTGTCTGAGCTGTTTTCAGCTGCGGTGGCGAAAGAAAACCTACTTAAAAAGCAGGCCATTGTTTCGCTCGCAAATTTTCAAATTTTCAAATTTTGTTGCGACATCGAAGGCTCTCATTTGATTGGCTATCTATGAGTTTCTTTGATTATTGACCAATCAGAATGTTTGATTTGTTACTTTCTTTGCACTGAATTAACCCTCTTCTGCACTGAATTAACTCTCTTCTGCACTGAATTACCTGAAAACTGCATTTATCTTGACCAATCAGAACTGAGAAATTTTTCCATGTATATTATTATTGTGGGAACATGCTCCAAACACATTTTACAGTGAAATAATACTTTTAATTGTTTAGTCCTGTAAAACAGTATTTCACAGGCCAAGTCACTCATTCTGTGAACGTTTTGGATTAATAATATTTTGACTCAAATTTCAAATGAGTGGGATGATCATTTGGGTAAGCACTCCTATTTTTTCATCATCATCATCATCATCATCATCATCATCATCATCATCATCATCATCATCATCATCACCATCATCATCATCATCATCATCATCATCATCTTATTATTATTATTATTATTATTGCTGTAGTTGATATCGTCACCATTATTATTATTATTATTATTATTTATTATTATTATTATTATTATTATCACTATGGTCTCTTTTATTCCTGAAAATAGAGGATATTACATGGCCGCGCGAAGATAATTAATTCTGTTCGAGTGTTGGGAAATATTTCACGAGTGAGCGAAACGAACGAGAGAAATATTTTTCAACGCGTGAAGAGAAATTTCGTAGCTCCAAGCGGCCTTGTAATAGTATAATCATAGTATCGGTATTGTTTCCACGTGTAAAGAGAAACATGTTATCTTCACGTATGAAGATATCATGTTTTCGCGCGAAAACTCACTTGGTATTTGACTGAGGTTTATATTATTATTATTATAATTATTTTCCACAGAAAGCTTCAGAACTGGTGGAGACGCCGTCAGAATATTGAAACCCCCGACTTGACCGAATACACACGTTGGGAACTGGACTATGACTTGACTCAGTATCCCGTGCACGGGTTGTTTTATGAATACCTTGAGATGGGTAAGAACTGCGCAGCTTGTACGGTTGAGCGAAGGAGATGGTTGAGATTTTACCGGTTATAAACTCTGTTTTGTTTTTTTTGTTTTTTGTTTTTTTTGTTTTTGTTTTTTCCAGTGATCCAGTATGGCTTTGTGACACTATTTGTGGCCGCCTTTCCACTTGGACCGTTCTTTGCCCTCATCAATAACTTGTTGGAAATTCGTCTTGATGCTTACAAGTTTATCGTGGTTTTTCAGCGCCCAATGGCAGCTCGTGCGCAGGATATAGGTATGCGTTATATGAAGAGAGGGCCGATTATTTTTGTTGGTCTTAAACATTTTTTATTAATTGAAATTCTATTTAGGAACTACCGAATAGAACACTTGAAAAAAAAAACCTTTTGTTTTCACAGGAATTTGGTACGCAATCTTGAAAGGCGTTACGAAGATCTCTGTGGTCGTAAATGTAAGAATCTATTTAACAAAGTTGTGCGTTTTTGAATATTATTTCTTTAAGGATTGAAATTGAAAGAAAATCATTAGAAAAACGGAAAATAAACACAGAAAAATTACTTGGGCGACAGATTCAGTTACAAACACAGTTGTTTTTTTCCCCCAATTTTATCGAATAAAGAAAAAATTAATGAGACAGTTTTTCCCATGTTCGAGCAAAAAAGGTTGGTCCTGACTTAAATCAAATAACAATAATATAGTCAAATTTGGTCACCTGGTGGTAGTTATTGACCTGTAAGAGCTAAAAATGAAGGATTTCCTAATAGGATGAGATATTTCATTGCTTTGGTAACTTGCAAATTCAAGCGGACAGACAATGATTTAGCATGTTCTACAAGGACCGCTCATTTTGCTTGAAAACAGTTTGTATTCAAAAGAACTTGAGCAATAGTATTGCCTCATTAATCGTACGTGCTGCATGCTGCGGTTCGAGTCACTTTAGTTGAAGGAAGCATACTTGAATAATTTGAATCAGCGATTTAAAGAGCAGAATACAGCAGAGAGTTATCTCTTTGTTCTACCTGTTGTCAAAGGTGAAAAACATGTCGTACTCGGCGTTTTGATTTAAAACCAAAGAGAACTTATTGTAAGGAAAGCCACAATGTATAATCACGGTAACTTGTTTTTTTCTTACCCTTTTTGTTAGGGCTTTGTGATTGCCTTTGTTTCCGAATTCGTCCCCAGACTGTATTACACCCTAGGTGAACACAACGACAGCTTGGAAGGATTTGTAAACCACACCTTGTCGTGTTTTGCGGTGGATGATTTTCCTGAGTCTGAGAGACCTTCTGGAGCTGCTGCTGTTGAGTTCCCCCTAAGAATTAACAGTTGTGGGTTTAATTTATCTACCTGCAGGTAAAATAACAAGGAGGGTTCTGTTTTATGGTTTAGTTCTTGCAGAAAAAAGAATCGCCTTTACTGATTAGTGTACTGATTCATTAATTTGTCAAAGCTTGCTGGACGCTTGGTGACACTATTGTAAGAATCATAAGTCATCCATTATAACTCAAGTTTTAAAGGTCTTGTGTGCTTGCATTTTAGATTCCGAGGGTATTATGAACGACCAAAAATTACAATACTCAACACGACCCTTCCAAATCCGAATGCTTACAAGTTCTCGACAGCCTATTGGCATATTTTGGCGGCCAAGCTGTTTTTTGTGGTTGCCTTTCTGGTGAGTTTGTGTCCACTTTTAATTGTGGGACGCTCGTTATGATGCACCTGATGGGATACTGAGAATCGGAGTATTTTCCTACAAATAGAATTGTTGGTGGAGATTACTGCAGTAATGTTGTAAAAAGAAGATTCCACCCTATCTGTGTTCCTCTCTGTTTCCTAGTTGATCCTTGTAGCAGTTCTGTGAAACATTTAAAATTGACCAACCAAAAAAAAAAAACGGTTCAGTTGAAGAAACTTACCTACCATCTAATATTTCTTCTTGTGTTTGGCTGATCGTCTTATTATTTTGTTATTTTGTGCAGCACATCGTGTTCGGTATGACGGCAATCTTGGCTTGGATTATCCCCGATGTTCCGAAGGAAGTTGACAATCAAGTCAAGAGAGAGAACTTTCTTGCCCGCGAAGCCTTACGGTCAGCAGATCAACAAGATTCTGTCTCTCCAGTCCCTAGGGAAAATTCGCGCGGCCAGGATGAAATGTTGTGAAATGTTGTAGAATGTCGTGTTTTGACAGAAATTATCTCGTAGTCAACGACTTTTAACTGATATCGGTATAGGTAGTTAAATCTGATAATACCACCGTCGCATATTTTGAATAATTTCTTGTGGTAAACGTAAGGCAAAGTTCGAAAATCTTCACCAAAAGCCAGTGCTTTTCACAAGCTGCGTGTCATAGCTCGCTGACCCATACGATTGATAGTCTTCATTTATAAACTCAGTTTAATCTTTCTAATAGCAAATGGTCAGTACGTGTCTGTTTTACATAGAATAAAGGGGGTACGTCTCTAAAGAAACTGTGGTGCTGCGTCGGTGGGAGAGTATAGCAGGTAATTTACTGTTAACAACTAAGTTGAAAACGTAAATTGGCCACCGTAAAGAGTAAAAAGCTGACGTTTCGAGCGTTAGTCCTTCGTCAGAGCGATGGCGAAGGGCTAACGCTCGAAAAGTTCTGACGATCTGACTGAAGGGCTAACGCTCGAAACGTCAGCTTTTTTACTCTTTACGGTGGCCAATTTACGTTTTCAACTCAGTTGTTAACACTAAATTACCTGTTTTACATAGATCAGCTTTCTACTTAAACAGTGTAAAACTTTATAGTAAAACTAACACCGTACAAGATTAATTATTGGTATTCATAGTTGGTTTGTGTGGTGACTTGATGTGCGCGTAAGGTGACATGTGAAATTGCCGTAGGGAACGAACTATTTTTCTTTTGATTGTCAGGTTCGTTTCTTTAGCCTCAACTGAAAGACCTCGAGAATTTAAGACACTTGCTGATACAAAGCTTTTCCATTCCTTCATTACTTATTATACCTTTTTTTACTGGCATTGAGCGGCTTTAAGAGAATACCAGGTCTTTTGGTTACTTGAGATACAATATTTATTTTTCCAATGAAGCCATCCAAATACATTAATGCCGTGCTAAAGTAAAGGAGTAAGAACAGATCCATCTAGGACTTGTTTGTAACAGTAATCAAAATAAACTGCTAGGCAATACAGACTTTGTAACAGTAATCAAAATAAACTGCTATGCAATACAGACGCCTGCGTAGCTCATGATTTTGTCACTCCGTTTTCCTACGGCGATTGCATTTTCTGTTTGTTTGAGTCACAACATAAAACGCCAACGGGCCAGACGTTAGCGTTATTGATATGCGAAATCTAGTGAGGGATCATATCAATTCGTTTCCACCTTAGTTTTAAAACTAAGGTTTTAAAACTAAGTTCCTTGGATTCGTCGATGCCTGAACTAAGAGAAAATGAAAATTAAAGGGTGTATGGACTCCTGTAGAGGGGCTAGTAATGGCGGGATTAATCAACTAAAAAACCTTAAAGACAGAGCTGAGTGGGTAAGGAGGGAGTTTCTCTCATAGAACTCCGTGGGTTGTCTTGGGGTATCTTAAGGTGGGCACGAGACTTGCAGGGGTCAATGGAAATAGCAAAGCAGCTTTGCACTTTCGTCTCATCAATGTACTTCTGATTTAGTAGGATACGCTGGTTAATTCTCAGTACACCTTTTTTTTTTTTTTTTTTTTTTTTTAATCCATACAGACTCGATGTAGATTGGAGAAGAGCAAAGTACTGTTATTATCACGCCTGAGCTTAACAATCATTCCATGTGCCAATTCTAGGTTGCCAGTTACTTTTACTTAATTTTTTTAGTTTTTTTTGTTTGTTTGATTGATTTTTGTTGTTGGTTTTTTATGCGTTTTACAGTTTTAAGTCTGATAATCCGTCCCGCTCTCAAGGTATTACCGAAACTTTCTTCACTTTTTCCATGAAAGGGAAGTCGCATTCGGTCGAATATAAATCTTAGGCCACCCCTTTTGTTCCGACAGACGGTCCACAAATAAACTCCTTACTTCTGCTTCTACCTCATTGCAAATCAGATGGTAGTGTGTTGTCTTTATCACTTTTCGCAAAGTAACAAGTCATCTCTAGAAGGCAAAGTAACTTAAACTCTCTCGACGGTTTTATTGATAATCATGTGGTTTAACAGCGTTGCTTACTTAATCACGATTACAATCTCATTGTCCATACATCTTTAAGCCTCTCTGTTGTTTGTTTGTCACAAACGTTTTCACCTTGTTTCAGGAATGTATGTTACTTTTCCAGAGACGGCTTCTAATCGGTGCTACAAAATTGTTCTAAAACCTGATCTTTTTTTCATTGTAAGCAAAAGCAATACATGAAATTTTATTTGACGAGAGAGAAGATTAAAATAGACCAGTATAATGAAACTCGGAAACATGCAAGAAAAAGGACCTCAACCGTCTCCTACCAACATATTGTGTATACATGTTGCAAATGCTAAATGCTATCGTAACTTCTAAGTAAAACAAGAGATAAAATACGTGTCTAGGTATCTTTGTATTCAGCGAGTGACTTTTTTTTTTCCAATTTTACCGAACTAGTTCACCGTAGTCTTTACGATCCTGTGGAGTAACTGAACTTTTTTTTCTGTATAGTTTTGCTGTCTTTTCTCGCTATCTGCTTATTCCAGCTCGAAACTACAAATCTAAGTGCTACATAGAACGTTTATAATTATATTTTAGTTAAGTCACTGCCTGTGTCATATCAAGTAGTTTTACTACTCTGGTTTAGCTGGGACGTTCTTGCTCTCATCATCCTCACCCATTGTGTCTCGGTATTCTTTAGCTTCCTCAAATGTTTCTTTACAGAGAGCAGATGGTTCATCTGGAGCGATCTTACTTTCCTCTTCTTCTTTTCTTCTTCTTCTTTTTCTTTTCTTCTTCTTCTTTTCTTCTTCTTCTTTTCTTCTTCTTCTTTTTTTTCTTCTTGTACTTCTTCTTCTTTTCTTCTTTCCTTGGTTTCTTCGTTTTTTTCTCTGAATTTTTCTTTTGTCTGTCTTCGTGTTCAATAGCTTCTTCGCTGGTTTCCTTCAAAGGAGTTGATGGTTGTTCGGTCCGAGGTAGTTCGATCATCTCTGTTTTGCTCTGATTTAAAACAGAAGGAAACAAAACCTTGATATTTGTTTATCGGTAAGTTGATTGATAAGTCAATCAGTTAGACAATTGGTTAATTTGGTATTATCAACTGAGTTGAAAACGTAAATAGGCCACCGTAAAGAGTTTTATGGCTGACGTTTCGAGCGTTAGCCCTTCCTCAGAGGGATTGGTCAGTCTGTCAGTCAGCCAGTCAGTCAGTCAGTCAGTCAGCCTGACGGCCTGTCAGTCAGTCATTCAAACAATCAGTCAGTCAGTCTAACGGTCTGTTAGTCAGTCAGTCCGTCAGTCAGTACGTCACTCAGTCTGTCAGTCAGTCTGACAGTCAGTCCGTCTGACAGTAAGTCAGTCAGTCTGTCCGTCTTTGTTTTTCAGACAGTCATGAATTTTATAGGTTAATCAGACAGTCAGTCAACGGTCCTCTTCTTCTTCAAGTGGCCAGTCAGGCGGAGTTTATCAGATGTAGGTCGGTCATTTAATTTCAATTAATGGATTGGCAGATTAATCAAATATTTTGGCAACGAAAGGCTCGTGAGAAACAGAGTTAATTCATGTTATCTTTGGAACTGATGCTTGAAAATTGATAACAAAACAATTTGATATCATTTGGACGCATGGACATAACGTTCATAAAAAGCTTTCAGGGAAAACAAAACAAAGTGAAGTGAATTTAAAGAATAGAAAAAGCGGCAAAAAAATAGCTGAGGAAAATAAAGGTAAAAATATAAGTAGTTGAACTAAAAAACTACAAAGGTGGCTTTGGCGTAAATTAAAAAGACAAAAATTAAGAAGTGGTGATGACTTATGAACCGCTTTAAAACTGATTTGGTACAATGAAAACTTTACCTTGTCCATAAGTCATAGTTTGGACTGCATTATCTCGTGGTCCTTTGTATGGATGAACTGAAATGGAAAAAAAAAACAGATTAAGATTAGTGTTTTCGTTAGCAATCAATGTATTAGCTCCGAATGAGAATATTGATGACATTAAGATTTCATTTCTATGACAGAGATGAACAAAGTGAGCATCCAAGCACCTCTTTCTATGGAGAAATGATGACCCCTCAGATCTTTTTCTTGATAGAAGTCTAAGCGCAATGCTTTCGGGGTCCTCTCAGGTTCGTTTCCTTTAACTCTCTATAGGTTTTCCCACTAATAGTTACTATTTTCTGAAAGAGCATTCAAGGCTTTGTCCTTTGATACAGACTCTCAGAGAACGACTCACCTTCCACAACAACCATTTGCAAATTTCCTCCGTTGCCCTCATCTTCGTCTTTTTCTGCTTGAACAACAAAATGGTATCAAATTATCCAACAGGAATATTCTTAAATGTTCACAGTACATAATCCCTTATCCAACGCTAACTGAAAAAACTTATATTGACGATCGAGTGTGAAAATGTGTCACATTAAGCAGTCAAACAAAAATAAAATTGCTTTAAATAAGCACCTTCTCCGCCAATCAACAAATGTAGCTGTAAATATCGAACACAGCAAATAAGTGACATCTACTTCATGATAACAGTTATACTTGTGTGTTTATTTCATAACTGTTCCAACACATTTAAGCTCGGCTAAAGTAAGGTCCAATCCATTCTCTACCCTATTGGCCCACGAGGCAGCGAAGTTTATCCGGGTTTTCTTTGCATGCAACGACCATTCTTATTCATCGTAGGTCATCCTTCCCCCCCCGTTTCCCACTCTCCTACAATATTCGTCGAGTTTCGTCAATTAAAAAAAGCCAAAACAAATTGTGAATTAGGTTTTGTACGACAAAAAAAAGTAAACTGATCAACAGACGAAAAAACCTTTTTTAGAAGTCCACGTTAAAAGATCAAATAATGCATATCCATCTTTTTAATTCCAAGGACTTAATTGCGATTCTAAAGACAATGTTGGGTCTTGTTTGTTGTAATACCTGCTTCAGCCGGCAGCACATGTTCTTCCTCGTTAACTTGGCCTACACCTAACAGAAAATGAATCATTTGTTTTTCTTTCTTTATTGCTTTTGCAAATCATTAATGGGAATTCTTCTTCAAGTTCTTCCAATATCGTTAAGGACAAAACAGATAAAGGTGTTAACGGCTAATTTGAATTGGTTACCAGTGGTTTCGTACCGGCCCACGGTCGTTTCATACCCGGTCGATTCGTACCCAGTCAGTTGAGTTGTTTAGTACCAATACTAATAAAGTATGCTGTTAATGTCAAGTATGTTTAAAGTGAGGTCTCTTATTTTAAATAGCGATACAACCTGTGCAAAACAAGTTTTGTTAATGTGACATCAATTCTTGCCACACGACCACCAAAGGTATATTGAATAAATCAATAAAGCTATAAAGAAAATTAAAGAATAAAAAGTTTTCATTTTGGCCCTTCATCCATTATTTTGACATAGATCAGCTTCCTAACTAATTTATCTTGTATTCATATATTAATTTTTTCTGGTTTGTCGGGATAAATGCCAAAGATCAATTTAACAGAAGTTACCTTGCTCCGGATCTGCTTGTCCAAGTTGCACCATTTCCACCATTTCTAGCATTCCATTGTCTCCTTGTTCCTGATCTACACCAATCAACATACATGTATAATAAATATTCATATTCATACATGTATACATGTAAATATATATATATGTATGCTCATATGATCTAAGATCTTGTGAATACTCTAAAGTGACCTTAGATAAGTTCTTATTATATTTAGTGAGCTTTTCCATTGATGTGATGATATGATTAAGTTTCTAATTCCATTAATTGCACTGAGCTATATTATTTTCAGGCAAACTAATATGAGTTTTTATTTCCTATCACAAAAATAAGATACCTTCCCACCTATAGAGTGACTAAAGAAAACGGTAAACCTTACCTTGATGATCTTGCTGCTTTTTACAGCAAGAGAAAAAGCTGCGCACATGGTTCATCAAAATTCGCAGTTTTGGTCGCAATATGCCCTGCACCTGTTTGGGTAATGCAAAGCGAATATTTCATTAAATCTGTAAAAATTAAGAGAGAATATGATAGAGAGTTTACAAACGTAACTTTCATAAACAATGTTAAAGCTGATCATACGACTTAAACACAAGGAAAGCCGATGCTAGAATCAGCCAGTTAAGTTGCATAGCCATTTATCCAGTTCTGATATTTTCCAAATGCCTCAAAAAGAACTATGAGAAATTGCTCAAGTAGCTTTCAGAAATTTCATGTGCAAATTTTTTTTAATGATAGTTTTCAAGGAGCGGGAAATTTTTGGGTGAGAGGAATCATTTTGAAATTAAATGTGACAGCCGTGTTCATTTGCAATTGAAACATTTGATAAGCCACCTACTTCTTTTTTCTTATGAACGAATCCACTCATTGGATGATAATTCCACGATAAGGTTTTTCCTAGGAAGCCTACGACGTATATCTTTCATTATCTACTTTTAAGCATTCTGCGAGGATACGTAATTAACGCATAAACACGATGGAGAAATCCGTCGCGATCGATTGCATTGTACTAATGTACGTCCCTGTCTTACCTGAGGGGTTGATAAGGTGTAGATGATCGGATTCAAGGCTGAGTTAATTGGCAGCACAAACACGGCGATCCAGGCAGGAAGATCGCCTCGGGGACTGTAATCTTTTTCAGCCAAAGACCTGATGCCCATGACTATTATCGGCATCCAACAGGCGCAATCTGTGAGAATGATAAAGAAGACTCTTTTGGCCAATGCTCTCTCCCTTCTGGCACTTGCATTCTTCTTTCTTGCCTGCACCTCTCGTCTGGTTCCCTTCTTTGCGAGCTGACGGCTGGAGAGATAACTTTTAAGAAAGATTGCGACATAAGCTACCGTCATGAACAGGAAGAGGAGGAAGTTTAACCCAACGAAGATGGCAATGGAGAACTCCCAACCAGCTGGAAACCTGTTGGAAAGTTGCAGTGGGAGGCACACAACGGATCGTCCGTAGTAGGCAGGGCGCTCTAGGGCGTCATAAAAGTAGCTAATGCCACTGAGGGGAAGGAATGCGATGACAAAACCAAGGACCCAAATAATCACGCACAGAATGTGTGCCTTCCTGGGAGTCAGCCCTCTGCCATGGTATGGGAAAACGATGTTCTTCAGCCTGTCAGCAGAGATGAGGGCAAGTATCATTACAGAGACCTCACTGGACAGCACTGAGATCGCACCTGTGACCTGACACGACAAACCGGATCGCCACTGGAAGTCATGCAGATAGTAACTTCCCGACCATAACAGGTCTTTGGCACCTAAGGTGACCAAGTAAACGCCCATCAAGCAATCCCCAACCGCTAAGTGCATTAACATGATAAGCTGGACTATGTTTCTCTCTTTAAAGATCAGACGCCATACAATTACGAACACAGCACCAAGCAGAGAAAGGATTCCGATTGCCCAGATACTTTTACGTGGGGCTGAGTCGCGAAACATGCTCTCGCAACTGGCGAAGCTGTCGTCGTATAAAGAGGTACATTGGGCGTCTTCTTTCGTCAGATGACAACACATAAGACTGGTGTCCACTATCCTGTAATCCACAATGTAGAAGGCAAGTACAGTAAAAATGCAAAAGATATGTTGTCATTCACACAGGGATGTATAATCAAAATGTGGGGTATAGCTTATTTTGCAGGTCACTATTGGCTCAATCTACGAATAGTGAATATAACGGTCTTTGAGGCACCAAACTTTCTGCTGATTTTGAAGCTAGGTGAGGTAGGCTGTGATTATATGGGGCCTCAAAAAGGAAAAAGGAAACCTTATACTTGCAAAAGATTGTAACTTCAACAAGAATCTCTGTATAACTACAAGTTGTCAGTAGGTTCAACCGACCTAAACCAGCTAAATATTTGCGGAGCGTGTGGATGTTGAATACGAAATCTTACGATTCCCCCCCGGCCCCCCTCCACCCTTTCAAAAAATCTCAAATAATGCGGGATGGAGGGCCTGAACTCAGGATTTTTGAATGACAAGTCCAACGCTAATGAAACATAATATAATATGATATTGTACGTTTCACTGACCACGGAGAAAAACTTACACTTTCATGATGTCCTTCATTCCATCGAAAAACCCGTTAGGAAGCTCAGACATTTGGTTTTTTTGCATATTCCTAAAAATACCATCTACCATCGATAAATAGGTATGGATAAAAAAATTGAAACTGCACCGTGATGTCAAAATGCGTGCCCCCTTGCTGCGTGTTTAAATTGTGTTTAAACGCCGTGAAGATTCATCCTTTTTTATAGCCCAACGTCCCTGGATTTCAGTCTAATTTCTAACTAGGGTCAATCTCGGAACAAACCCTACGTTTGTGTAAACTGACGATCCCGAGGTGCCTCTCGCTCTGTGCTCGCAATAAATACCTGTAATCTTTTCTCAAAAATAAGCCAGTTAAGGTTTTTTATTGTACTATTGTACCAGCGACATATTAACTGCAGTAGGATAATATTCCCTGGAATTCAAGCAGTTTAGTCGCCATACACTTCTTTCGTGCTCTAGCCGCTTCCTAAGTGCTTTATAACAGAACAGAGCACAGTCAAGGCTTCTCTATTTGTTAATTAATGTTGTAAGGAGAAATGCTTTCTTGGTCACTCGTTGGAGTTAAAGGGTGTAAGTGAAACGACAACTAAAATACGGTTTCTCTGTATTTTTGTTGCAAAAAATATAAAGCTAGCGCTAAAACATCATGTTCTTATTTCATGATTTTCAATTTAAAATTGTGTTTCTTTACAGGACGTCATTGTTATAAACCAATTTTTATTTTCAGTAAGCCCAGTAGGATAATGATGAATTTCATCAGTGGGTATTTGCTCACAAAATAACCAAATTTGGAAGGTCCTTAAAGTTTTCGTTGGTGACACCGGGAATCTTGTTATCAGAAATAGTGCTGTGGAGAAAAAAAAAATCTGCGTTAGGAAGTAAAAAGTCACAGCTGTGATATCCACAGTATTGTGAGGTTAGGGCAACTGCTCACGGGAAAGTCATGTGTGGTGTGATGTTTTGTGGATCATTTGTTATAATGTGAATTATATTAGTAAAGAGTGGTTTTGAGGGGTATGACGGGAATGTTGAGGTATTGTGTGTCGCGGTATGACATGGTAAAGTGTGATGTGATGTGCTATGGTGTTCTTTTTGATGATACGGTGTGTTCTGGTGTTGTATGGCATGGAAAAGTGTGATATGACGTGCCGCAGTGTGCGTTTTCATGATATTGTGTGCTGTGGTGTGGTATGACATGATAAAGTATGATGTGACGTTTTGCAGTGTTCCTTCTCATGATATGGTGTGCTGTGGTGTGGTATGACATGATAAAGTGGTATGACATGATAAAGTGTGATGTGACGTGTGCGAGATAGTAAGGTGTGTCTTTTATTGAGGGTTTCATAAATATAAAGTTTGAGCAATATTGTAGATTTTAAAATTATATGATGTGCTGTAATTCAATGGGGAAGTGTGGACATAAGATGGTTTAAGAGCCTGTCCACGAGAGTACCAGGCAGTCGTGCTACATGCCATCTCACCGATTTCATTGAAACTTTGCCAGTTTAAAGGGTCTACCCCAAAACTCTAGAAGACAAACTGGTTTATGTTTTGGTTTTTCCGGGGGGAGATAGACCACCCCCCCGGTTTTTCTGGGTGTCCACCAAGGAAATCGCTTCAAAATAGGTAAATGTATGAAGCTCTCACTGCGATGGTATTTAACCAATTACTCTGAGGGTCTCCACACATATTTTTCCATCCTTATTTAATGTCTGCGGCAACTATCAGCTAATTTGATTGACGGCTCGTCAATCAACAGAGGCAAAGAAACGACTGTGTTTTTAGACTTTTCGATTCGTTCAAATATTTGACAACTTTGAGGTCAAATATCTCTCCTTGCCAGAAGGCTAAAACACTAATCTTGATTCCTCTTTATAACCCATCATTTCATTTCTGAAAATCATCAAAAAAATCTTTGGGCACTATCGTATTTTTGTCTCAGATGGCTTTTATAATCTGCGGCTGTGACATGTTTCTCTCAGCACCTTCAGTTCTTGCTCTAAGCGGTCACTGACTAGATAAACTTACATTTTTTGGCTCTTTATACAAGATGATTGATCAAGAAAGGTGAAAAATGTGAAAAACTTCGAGTCTTTTTGTAGGAATGGAAAATTTCACGTTTAGAGAGATGCATGTAGGCGAAAAATCGAAGAGAAAATCGTAGCGTTTCTTTCTCCAGTCGTTTATTACTTTAGAGATTCGCTAAAATCAGCAAATATGGCTTTTGTACGGCACAAAACATTCATTAGTCTAAAATTTGATTGTTTATCATCATCATTGCTCATTTTAGGAGATTTTAAAGTCACATGCTGCGTGTTGGTTGACATTACTACAAGTTCCAGTGTGCTACAACTTCGGCTTTTACAGACGAGAAATTCTGCGCTCTGGCTAGAGAGCAAATATCAATAGTTCTATCAGACTAAAAACTGTGCTTCTATCCCGAAAATAAAATTAAAATAGAGTTGTCGTTGTCACTTACAGTCATCGAACATTTGCATGCAGAATTTTTTTGTTTTCTAAGAAAAGGTGGCTGCTTTTTTTGTTTTCCAAAGAGCCCATTCAAAGTCCACTTGGCTACTTAGGGATTGTTCGTCAGAATTTTTACCTGAAGTCCGTCCTTAAACGTAATCATCCCCTGTAGAATGGCAAGCCGGGCTTCGTTTATTTCCTCTTGACCTTATCATAGGCGGATTTTTCTGTCAGCTTCACTGTGTTTGTCTTTGCTAGGGTGCTTTTGGATGGCAGTCAATGACTGAAACGTCTCGATAAATCCTTCCTTTTAGCAAGAATATCTCGCTTTCTTGTTCTGTCTGTGATGGATTGGGTATAGTTCTCGCAATTACCCGCGTTCAGAGATCTGTTCACGTTGCTGATAACCACCCGCTTCTACGATTAGTTTGCTGAAGGTTTCTAATGTGATGAGCCTAGTGAGACCCTGTGGCGCTCCAAACTGTGCCAGTTAGTCTGCGCTCTAAACTTGTCGCGGTTCTTAAGTCAGAGGGAGGTCGGCCTCCTCTATTTATGTGAGCGCCTCTATAGTACCTGCGTATCCCCAGCAATCATATGATATAAAGTTCATCTCAGTCACAAATCACCAGTTAGGAAAACTGATGTTCAGATAAGTGCTCTTCTTGGCCTTCTTCCTTATTCATTGCCGACTCTAAGATAGCAGTTACAGTACTCGTTCTATTAGGTTTACAGTCACCTTGCCACCAGGAAGACTCGTCACCAGCTTCGATTTCTTCTGCCATCTTCAGACTCACATCTCTCTCAACTTTACGTCTCCAATTTTTATGAGGAGGATACTGGCATTTACAAACCCGAAGGTCTGAATCTCACACTAAGTTGTGCACGATATTTGAGGCATATCGTGAAATCGCGGCCTTCGTAACTCTCCAGATAAGCCAATACGCGCTAGAATAAGCTTCTTCTCGGACGAAATACGTGTTTGGGATGCATCGACATCTCTCAAATTTTTTTTTTAAGCCGTACACCCACGAATTTAGAAGTATGAGCTGTTGCCGTCCCTGGCTAGCGCGAGAAAAATAACATTTGGTTCTACAGTTAGTTGCAAATGAACAAGACAACTGCACCATCTTGACTCTATCAATTCGAGTGTTAGATTGAATTAAGGGATTTTTAGATACTTGATTTCTTATGTGGCATCACTCTGAAGACGTAATACAACTGATACACCTACTGTACATGGGATTAACAATGTCTGTTGTGCTGTTGCGAGAAGGAGGAAAATATTACCGTAAGTGTAAACTCTTTAAAAGTTTCAGAGACGTTTCAGAGATGTCTATCTTCGTCTGTCACAAAAAATTGACCCCCAATCAAATTTACTTGGAAAAATTACAAACTCCTTGTTCAAAAAATTGGAATTCATTTGACCAATACGCCGCTTGTTTCAATTTTGCTTTTTCCTCGCGCGGCTATAAAACAGTTCATACATTGGCCAATGAATAAAATATTTTGAATTACCGTTCGGAATTTGCCTTTTTTTCTGCGTGCAAATCAAGGGTAGACAAAGTTGTTAAAACATATGACAAGAATTTCATGGGGTTCACCTCGAAAATTTTCGTCGGCCAAAGTCAAGACGCGTCAAGCTAAGCGACATCGCCCTCGAGTAAAATAATTTTCCAAAGAATAAATGTGGCGAGCGTGAGGAAACGCACATTTTTTTCATTATTGTGATCAAAGCCCGATGATGTGCCTAAATGGGTAGTTACGGTATCAAACCATTGATTATGGCAGGGTGAGCTAAATTTTTCTGTCGAGGTCGACGTGACTTCACATTAAAAGCGTTTTTGACGGAACAAACTAGTAAGCATCACTGCACGAATTAAGAAAGTAAAAACTTGTATTTATCTCCCACGCGTTTCGCCTGACAAGAGTAGACTTTATCAATGATTTTTTTAAGTAGGGTAAATAAGCTTGCTCATGTGCAAATAGTAAATAAGTTGTCTCTTTACTATTGAAGCCAGTGGACAGAATTGCGCCAGTTGCGATACGGTGTTATACATGCGTGACATTTTCTGGAAGTTACATGTACGAGTACGTGATCCGTTTGAGGGTCACAGATTTAGTGTAAATAGTTGACCCCTCAACATCACGTAATGTCTCTAGTTTACAGAGGTCTTAGAACATTTCTTTACATGGATTTGCCTTCTGCGGGTAGAAGGCTAGAAGCGAATTTCTCAGGCGTAATTGCCTTTGATTTCTCAATTAATGTTGTGGCAAACACAGTTTTTGGGAGTCATGAAACAAAAAAACTTATCAGGACCTAGTTTCATGTTCTAATGGAAATAAATAGCAAATAAAAACATATTCTCTTCAGAAATAAAGTTATAAATAACAGGGGTTCTCTGAAACAAATAGTGATAGAAAAGGGTTTCAGTTCTGGTCAATATTGACTTTTCATAGTCTACTTCCAAATCTGAGGGAACGCGCTGAGGGAATAAAAAATCATAAATGTGTGTGATAATGCAAGGAGAAAACAAAGGAACCCGTGCTGCAGCGTGCAGATATCTTTTGAGCCAGACCTACACACCTAAGCCCGACACCACCCAAATAAACTCGAAAGAGTGCTGTATATGAACTGGCTCGCACGAGCGCGCAGGAAAGGCCATGACAATCACCGAAAATAATAGCAAATATTAAAAAAACAGGAAAATGAGATAACAGAAGGATTAATAACTTTCTAGAAGTGTGTTCTTAAAAAAAAAAAAGATAATTTTTACTTCTCATGAAAGGTCACGCAGTCACGCTACAAATACTATTTCTACGTGGAATTTCTTGATGGTGGAAAGTGGAAAAAACATTTTCCAGTCTTATATTCTGAAAACATGGCGCGGTTAATGAATTTTATGGGGATACTGATATTTCTTATCAAATAAGGGGGGGGGGGCAGAGTTTCCCGTCATCCGCGGTATGGAAAAGCCGAAGTTGTTACACACAGGAACTTGTACGTCAACAAGCACGCGACATGTGACTTTAAAATCTCCTCTCCTGTTACAGTTTCCTTATTTTTTGTGCGATAATGATAATAGACGATCAAATTATAGAAAAATGAATTTTTTGTTCTGTACAAGAGCCCTATTTCCTGATTTTAGCAAATCTTCAAAGTAATAAACGACAGGAGAAAGAAACGCTACGATCTTCCCATGGATTTTTCGCCCAAATGCATCTCTCTAAACGTGAAATTTTCCATTCCTACAAAAAATCTCGAAAGTTTTTCACATTTTTTACCTTTCTTGATCAATCATCTTGTATAAAGAGCCAAAAATTTAGGTTTATTTGGTCAAGTGACCGCCTAGAGTAAGAATTGCTTGACAGGTGTAGTTGAGAGAAACATGTCACAGTCGCAGATTTTAAAAGATATTCAAGACAAAAATACGGTAGTGAACAAAAATATTTTTTTGATGATTTTCAGAGATAAAATGATGGTTATAAAGGGGAATCAAGATTAGTGTTGTAGCTTTCTGGCAAGGGGAGATATTTGACCTCAAAGTTGTCAAATATTTGGATGAATCGAAAAGTCTAAAAACACAGTCATTCCTTTTTATCAGTCAATTTGATTGACGGCTTGTCAATCAAATTGACTGATACTTGCGGCAGACATTAAATAAGGATGGAAAAATATGTGTGCAAACCCTCAGAGTAATTGGTTAAATACCATCGCAGTGAGAACTTCATACATTTACCTATTTTGAAGCGATTTCCTTAGTGAAAACCAAGAAAAACCGGGGGGGTGGTCTATCTCCCCCCAGAAAAAACCAAAACAGAAACTGGTTTGTGTTTTTGAGTTTTAGGGCAGACCCTTTAAACTGGCAAAGTTTCAATGAAATCGGTGAGATGGCATGTAGCACGACTGCCCTATGCTCTCGTGGACACGCTCTTAAGTGGTCCTTATTAATCTACACGAGGTGTGGTCTGTAATGTCAAAGTATGATATGGCATCGTATAGCATCGTATGATATGGAGTGCTTCTTGATATTTAAAATTAAAATCCATCAAGTGATTTTTGCGAACGTTATACTTACAGAACCTGAAGATTTCTCATGCCGTTGAAAATCCCTTTGGGTAAATTCTCGAGGTTATTTTCAGAAAGATACCTTAAATGTAAATTATGTTTTAGATAAATGCCCAAATTTTTTTTATTGGACTAGCTAGGCAAACGAATTAATGTTTATTTGTTAGAGGCATCACTTTGCATCGCGGTTACGAGATGTAAACACGTGCATTAACAGGGAAACGAAATGGTAGCTACAAAGTGATAGCTACAGAACATGAACAGACACGAAACTTGCGGATTACAACAGTTATTCAAAGTAAACCCTGCTATATCGAGCTACTGACGCAAACAAGATATCGTGGATTTAGAGTCAGCTGACAGTATGAAAGTAGTATCACAGACAACTCCCCGTCTTCTCGATCAGTTTTTCACCCGCGTTATCCCTTAGACTGTTTTCAATGCAACATATTCCAACAGTACAAATGGGAGCCATTCGGTTGTGCCACGCCCTTGATGAAGTTGTCTTTATTTTTTTTTGTAATAAAGAATCCGTCGAATTTCCCACGCATTACTTACTATTTTAAAAACAAATTTTAGTTCTCGAAGCGAGCAAAAGCGCCGTCAGCATGTTCTATACTCTCATTAATCAAGGTAGAATAAGCCAATCAGTATCCTTGTTAGAATGGATCAAATGATCTGATTAGTTAAATAAGACTAAAGCTGTCAAAAATGTCAAACAATCAAATTTTACAACCATCAAAGTGCATAATCTGTATTAGTTCACAAACTGAAAAAGTACGTTGGCAGGTCGACTTTAACATTGTTGCCTGAAGTTTTCCAGTCTTATAACAGAATCTTAAAGTGAAATATGCACTGAAATCCGAGATAGTTGTGGCTCATAAAGACACGCAAATTTTTTTTTTCACATGACAATCAAAAAACAAACTGCTCAAGTCGTATGTTTACTGAATGAACGACAGCCAGATTTAAGGTTGGCTGCGATTGCCCTCATCAGGATCGCAGTCGCTCTGACACCGTCATGAATTACATTAATTTTAACAGTTATGCCAATTTGGTTATGTTTTTCATGATTCCTGCTTGGTTCTATTTTGTTTTTGAACACGAAACTATATATGCTATACGAGTGTTATCTATGTTTGATTTTTATTGCCTTAAGAAAGCTCACAATCTCACTGGGAGTGAAAACCTTCGAAACTCGGACTGCCCATTTCGTTTTCTCTTTGAGGATTTTCGTCTCTGCTCACGTTTTTTAATAACATCAATTACGGCGCATGGCATGTTTACAAAAAATAGTAAACATTGGCAGATAGCGTGACAGCTTTAGCTCAGCTCCGTCTTTTGTACTCTGTTTTTTGTACTTACTCTGAACACTTTCTTTCAATCAAAGACAGCGCGCGATAGCGAGATTAAAAAATGGATTCACTTTCATATAGAAACTGAATCCAATGAATAGTTTTACTATGCATATTTTTAAATTAGAGAACTTATTTAGTTTCGATAATGCTTTCGCGGATTACAATATGTCATTATTAAAGTAAGTGATATCTTTGAACCCAATCACAAAACTTACAGCCCGTTTAAGTTGACCAGAGTACGAAGCAAATCCCTGGGGAGGCTCTTAAGCTTGTTCTTGTCCAGTTTTCTGTGGCATATAATAAGTCAATGAAAATGCGACGAAGAAAGCTTTGGAGCACTGTGAAACATAGTATATCTCTTCAAAAATACATTTTGTGACGTTATACCGCCAGGCGTAATATAAAGCTCGGCGAAAAACACTATCCATGGGACATTGGGTGTAGTGCTTGATGACTTACATATTTAACAGCTTGGAGAGGTTGGCAAAAATATTTCCGGGTAGTTCCTCGAGTTGATTGCCTGACAAAATCCTATGGAAAACAGAGATAGCGTAAAAGAAACTAGATACCAAGTTGAAAGTTACGTCTACTTTCGCTATCAACCGTTTCAGGAGGATCGAGGACTAACCTGTTACTTATTGATTACATAGCTACTTCCGATACTTGCTTCTTCCAATCAAATACGATTGCTTAAATCTGCTTTAACACTTTGCCTGAGGTAATTCCTCAGTTTTGCACCGCGCATCCTGTATTGCGCATAAAAATCACGTAATCAGAGGAATGAGCGCCCACACGGTATTGTTTTTCAATCTATGGATCAGGAAAAGAGTTACGATGGTCTTTAGCTCTTGAACGAGCACGGCGACCTATACATATATATATATATATATATATAAATTTTTTTTTTTTTTTTGCATAATTTTGGTGCAAAATGTATCCTCTTTAAATTGGATAAATGTAAAAAAAAGTTTTTTGAAGGAAAAAAAAGATAAGGTCAAAAGCATGCACGAAGCCCGTTACTCGAGGATGTAAATCATAACCTTAAAAGGAACGACTCGAGGAACATGTCGTTTAAATTTACGTGATTTTCCCAAAATCACATATCAAATTGTTCCATGCACTGGAGACTTTATATCTATCAAGTTTTTTTCACATGTGTTACTTTAAAAACCCAGTGCAGCAAAATGTACCGTTAATCGATGAAATGACGCGTGTAATTAGTACCAGTACAGGCATAAGTGGGGTAAGTTTGGTTTATCATATCTCCAAAACAAGCACGGTGACCTATCCCTTTTATTGTAATTTCGAAAGAGACATTGGTAAGGAAAGTTTAAGGAAAGTTTTAAAAAAAATTACCAGTATGCTGGGTAACTTTTTTCTTTGAGGAGTCACCTTAATCGACAACAAAAACCTCTACTCATCCTTTACAAAAAGATAGTTACAGACGGTATTTGTTTTTATCAGAAAGGTTGTATTTGAACTAAGCAAGTGAAAGGATGAATAAATTAATAAATAAATAAGAAAGTGAGAGAGCAACAGCTAAATGAATGAATGAAAGAAGAAATAATTAAACTAAATGGTAAATTTAGAATTTTTGTTTCAAAATTTTGTGCATTAGAAGCTACTTTATATTTGATTTGTTCTTTTTAGCAGTTTTCTTCATCAATTTGTTTCTCTTGATTTTTAAATTTTAAGTCTTGATGAACTTAAGGTTTCATATACATTTATTAGAACTTAGGTAGTATCTAATAACACCAGCAAATCTTTATTGTTCTTGCATACTCTTTGTTGAAATTTATATTTTTGAACATTTGCTTTAATTATCTTTTTTTTCCCCAATGCTGGTCCCCCTGTTAATGAAAGCGCTTGCCTTGTAGCTTATTTAGAAAATTGTTGGTTGGAAAGGTGAGTGACGTTAAAATCATTAATTAAGATCTAGCACTTCCGGGTTTTATATTTGAGAAAACTGAAAAATCTTAGATTTAATTCATCACTTACAGCTGTTTAAGCTTCTTTAGACCTTTGAAAAGTCCTAGGGGCAGATATTTAATTTCGTTGTTTGACAGATCCCTGAAAGCAATCGTTTATTTCATGAATCGCAACAGAAACAGATCCTGCTTAGCCCGAGGAATGGTGAAACCAAGTGTTCTTTTTTTAATGGGTAAGACTGATTACTTTCGAGGCCAAGCTAGAAAGCAGACGTTAGCATTACTTTTCAGCCGCCTCCAACATGTGGTTTTATATTTTTCAGGTAGTTATTAACTACTCACATTCTATATTTATAAAGTGTATCAAAATCAAGCTATAAGTCTTCGCCTCAACCTTTAATATTCTCCTCCACAGCCGCTGTTTGATCTCGCATCGCAAACAAGTCTTCCCCCTCCCCTTCCCATCACCACCCAGAGGCACAATGCTTGTTGTGTGACGAGACTAATAAACGGCTGTGAAGGAGAAACACAAAACGGCTTTTTTGATGTTATAACAGTGAGAGCAGTCAGCAGCTCTTGTGTCACAAAGCAAGTAATTCTCGGCTTTTTCTAAATTAAATAAATTGGAACGCTTTATATTACTCTTTATACCAGGGTCATTGCTTTGACCTGGATACGTTTAAGAATTGATAAGTTAAGAGGCAAAAAGAAAACCTATGCTAGTTATGGCTAAGAAGGTAACGAAACTTGACCTGCCAGCCTCCAAAGTTACTGTTAGTAACTAAGTTGTTAACGATATTCAAACTGGACACTGGGCTCTTTTACATTTGCAACAGGGTTTGGAGAGGTAGAGGGGGGAGGGCTCCAGAGGCTCACGCTCACCCCCCCTCTTCGCTGCATTAAATTGATTGATAGTTTCCTAACATCTGAGTATTGACTGGTTTGCTTTAATTCGTATTTCATCATTATTTCGTCCAAATTTTTAGGAAATAAAATCGAAAAACTAAGCTTTTCTCTTAAGTCAAAATGGCGATATCACAATATTTGCAGTGTTCATATTTGTTCATGGTGTTATTTAAGAATAACAATTTTATTTCCCATCTCCCTTTTCAGTCAGTCTAACTTGACAAATTACGACTCTTCAGGTGGGCTTTCAAAGGGCTTTTAGATTTAATCTTCAACGCATTCACTCACAGGTCATCCAAACTGATTAAATCTGTGAACAGTTCTGGGGTTAGCTTCTTCAGTTTGTTGTTACGCAACCACCTATAAGAGTGGCAAGAGAATCAATGGATATCCAGACAGATAAACACACTGAAACGAGAAGCGGGGAAAACGGAGGGAGAGATATGCGGAAAGACAGTATAAAAATAGGGAAAACAATCTACATAAAGGTTAAGAATGGACTGATAGAGGATAACAACAGAAAGACTCCAAAAAAATTCGGTAAAGGTTATAGATGATTTAACGAGCTGGTTTGCAGCCTTTACCATCATTTGGAATGATCAATGAGAAGTATAAAAGTCTGATCATAGAACAGCCTTTGCAAGCTGGCTTGTCATAATTTGTAATTTCCCTATTAGTCTTCTTGCCCTGCAGTGAAAAATCGTTAACGTCTGTCGTCAGGATTTGCTTTTACAAGTTTAAATCCCATGCCAGAAAGTTCCTTTAATCATAACGTTATTAGAATCTTAAAAAGGTCTCACTTACAGCCTTGTTAGATTCTTCATTCCTCGAAACAGGTTATCAGTTAATTCGTTGAGATTGTTGTCGGACAACTCTCTGCATTGTTCATAGAAATAAAACAGAAAACAAAAATAATGGTACCATAAATGTCTTAAACCTGTGAGTAACATTTGATTATGTATTCTGATCGTCCGGGTGAGGGAAGTGGTGAATGACGCTTGCACAACCTCAGCAGAAGTCTTCATTAGAGACTAGTGAAGAGTTGTTGTCAGTCGAGCTGTTTATAGTCCGGTTCGTGCATACTGATTGGTCAGTTTTTCCATGGTGTTATTGTCTGCAAGACTCGAGTACCCGTTAGTCGGTCGTAGTTGGTCGGCTTCGATCCGTCGTTAAAGGTCGTTCTCTTCGGTTCTATTTGTCTGCAAATACCGTGAATAAGACGTTTGTATGATATTGGCAGTTTTAGGCATCTGTTGAGGGAAGTCTGTTCTAAGGTAGCAAATTTGCTGGCCAGAATCTGTCGTCGTAAGTAGTTGGAGCTGTAGGTCAGGAATTACGTAGAGTCCCAGTTGATAGTGTCTTCATAGAGTGAATAATGTTCAGCGATGTGAATTTTGACGTCACCGATTATTGCCTCTCGTTTGTGTCCAGTCATGCGGTTGTTTTTGAAGTTTTTCCGATAAAGGATATTTGCAGTATGAGCAGTTGATCTTATAAAAGCTCCCTGTCTGTTTTCTGGCTTGTCCTTGTCTCTGACTTTAGCGTAGATATCTGTAGGCGACGCACGTAAGACCTTCACTCTTTCTTTCTCTTGATTTCTTCTGCATTCGCACCTCCCGGGGCCGCACGGCTTTTTGGCCTTATTCAAGTGGTCGCTACAGCCCTTATATGGGGATTTTTGTCTTATGTTTTTAATTAAAAGGTCGCAGGGCCGCAAGGACTATCAGCGCTAACTGCTAACTAACCCAACGTGAAACTAGCTGGAAGTAATCAAGAGGGAAATAAACAGGTCAATGTAAATCACGAAAAAATTCAAACTTCTTTGCCGGGATATCTAGAGGAAAATAAGTTCCCCGTAAATCGAGTGAACTCAGCTTTAGTCGTTCAATCACTGACTGACGCACTTTTCCTTACTTAGAAGAGAGGAAAAGATAAAGGAAATCTATATGGAATGATTGTCTGAATCTAGGACCTTTTTTTATATTCACCTCCGGTCTAATATATCGATCACTGTTGAGTAATATACAGCTTCAGTAACTATGAAGGGTAATTCGTTTTCTACTTACAGCCACTCTAGGTTTTTATTTTCTTTGAAAACAATCGGTGGCAGTTGACTGAGCTGGTTAAGGGACAAGGACCTGTAAAATATTTTTTAAAAGTTACCCCATACCTTAAATGGTTAAGTTTTAAGGTGCACAATAAAGAATTGGAAAATTAGTTCGGATATATCAGTTCTCTGACCTTTAGAATTCATTATAAGGAAAAAGGTGTTATCATATTCTTGGTAAGCACAGATCGTTTAGATCTTTATGAGATGTTTGAATGAGAACGTTAGCATTGATGAAAAAGTTTTCAACTGAAAATTGCAAGTTAAAGGTACTTACAGCATTCTCAGGGAGGTAAGGTTACCAAATATCGTAGAAGGAAGGCTTTGCAGTTTGTTGGCGTGTAACCCCCTGCAGTTAATTTATGTGGAAATAAGCTTCTACCATACTAAATTTGAATCCTCATTTTAGCTTTCCTGTCTTTGTAATACGATGTCCAAATATCCATTTAAATTATAAAAAAACCCGCGTAGAAAGTGACTGTTGCAGGAAATACTAAAGAAACATGACAGGACGGAAAAACGCGTGGACTGTAAGTACCTCCCGTTGTCCCATACAAAGCCTTAGAAAACTAATTGTATGGAACAACGGGAGGTACTTACAGTGCATGCATTATCCGTCCTGTCATGATCCTGCACGGTAATTTCTTTACGAGTAATTTGTTTATGAGTCATTGTATCACTAAGAGAGAAAGATGGCGATGGGTGCCATAAAACTCGACAAATGCAAATTCGTAAAATATTTGAAAAAAGTCCTCGGTAAAAATTGCCAATTAGTTGGCATGAATAATATTAGGCATGTATGTTGCGCGAGAGAATACTCTCGAATCTACAAAGCTAACTAAATATGTTTTGCGGTCTTCATTTTTTGATATATGATCAAGGGGGAGAATTTGAAAATTGCCTCCATCGGGAGCTCGAGCTATGCGGCGTGGAACATTCTCATACTACCCCACATCACCCCCAAGGGAACGGTCAAGTTCAGCGCTTCAACCGGACACTTTTGTGAATGCTCCGTACCTTGCCAGAGACCCAGAAATCACGTTGGGCAGAACACTTGAACCATGTGGTACACGCTTATAACTGCACGAAACACGAATCAACTGGCTACTCACCGTTCTTCCTCCCCTTCGGTTGCCACCCCCGTTTACCGGTAGACTTAATTTTTAGAACCGAAGATGAAACCAACCTCGTGAACCACTCATAATATGCCGAAAAGTGGCGAAAAGCAAAGACAGAGGCATACAAATTAGCAGGAAAGACGTCCAGTGAAGCAGGCACACGAGCTAAACAACGTTATGACCTGCCTGGTGATAGAGTTCTTGTACGCAATCTCAGAGAACGGGGTAGACCGGGGAAGCTGCGCTCGCATTGGGAGGATCAGATTCACATAGTCATTAGCCGTAAGGGAGAAGATAGCCCTGTGTATGAAGTCAAGCCCGAAGCTGGCACTGGGGGGAACAGAACCCTACATGGGAACTTGCTATTGCCATGCAATAATCTTCTCATTAACATCCCAAACGAAACTGGCCAGAAGAGAGAAAGAAGAGTCCGGAAGGATAAGCGTATCACTGCTAGTCAGATACCTGTACCACAAGCCGAAGACTTGGCAGATGATACCTGTAGTAATGATGAGTATACAATCATCCCAAGGAACCTCCACACTGGGCAGACCTTAGAAGAAGCGGTTACTGAGGAGCTCGTCAAACCTTCAGTTGAAGAGAAACAGCCTACACCGACACAGTCAGAGGATGCAATATCGGGTAACGCCCATCAAGGGAAAGTAATCGGCGATCGCACTGTTTTGGAGGAGACGGAAGAAACCGGATCAGAGAGCGGAAATGGACAAGATACTCTAACCCAGGATAATAACAGCCCACCAGACAGTCCCGAACTGGAACCTAGGTCTAAACGACAGAGACATCCACCAACAGTTCTGACGTACAACACACTTGGCAATCCCACATATGAGACCCAAGCTGCTGTACACGTCATAGCCGCCAACAGTGTTTCTGGAAGTCAATTACCTCAGTGCGGTACTCCTCATCTTCATTGGAGAACAGGTTTACCAACTGTACAGCAGTTCCAGCTACCATCATAACCACCTTTGTCCCAGTATCCAGTAATCCTTGGCTACCCAAGAACGTATCTGCAGTATCCATCCATGCCTAAACCTGTGTTCCAGCCGGTTAACCAGTTCCTTAACTCACAGGTTTGAGTTATCGAAAGACAACAGTATTAATATCTTTTTTGCCATCCGTTCGACCAGAATACATTGCACAAACTCTACTCAGTGTATTTGCGCCCTGTTTAATACGTCAAGTCTCCGACACGTTTCTGCCAAACTTCATACCATCTATGCGAACCTAATGTGGTCAAAGGTAAGGGACTTTAAAAAAAGGACCTACTATAATGGTATGCGGCACTCTTACTTTTTCTAATTGTTCTTTATTATTTGGAGGACTCATTAGTCTATTTTGATAAACCGTTCGGTAATAAACGAATACCTGGCCGAGTACTAAGCGTCCTTTATTCAGAATGGCTTCCAGGTCGGTCAGAGTTTTCTTCATATTTCACTCTCATAAGATGTGTTCACTTCTCGATAGAAAGGATACGACCACTTTTTCGAGTTAAATGGAGGCTATTTTCCCAAACAACACAGCATGTGCTTGTCGTATCTATTTCCTTTGAAGCCATAATGATTTTGATCGCTCTATCAGATTCTTGGCATCGGTTATTGCACTTCCAGTGTTCAGATTGGGTCACTCAATTTACTGAAGTGTTGCTCGCTGAATTCTTTTTCTCACTCCTCCGCTCGGTTTCACGAAACAAAAAACTTATTCAAAAGGCTGTGCACAACTTCATTGCTTCAGTTGTCGATGACCTAAAACTCCAACGTGATTGAATGCTTGTCTAAGAAGTATTCCACCTCCTCTCGTATTCTTGAAAACTTCTTGGATTTTAAATTGTTGAATTCATTTAAAAATAGTCAGAACAGGCTGTGTAAATTGATTAGCATTGGATTTTGATTCAGTTCCGGTCACATAGCAACACCTCTTTTTTGTGATTTTTTTTTTCAGTTTTGACAATAGAAAGAAGCGGTGAATTCAGTTTGTTTTAAGTTTTAAGAAAAGATTTAGAGTGAAAACAAATTAAGTAAGCGACCATAGCAAAATTTATAAGCGTTTTATTTGACCGAAGCTATAATTCCATTTGCTGGTAATTTAGTGTTAACAACTGGGTTGAAAACGTAAAGTAGCCACCGTAAAGGGTAATCAATCGCTCTGACGAAGGGCTAACGCTCGAAACGTCAGCTTTTTTACCCTTTACGGTGGCTAATTTAAGTTTTCAACCCAGTTGTCAACACTAAATTACCTGCTATACTCTCCCACCGACGCAGCACCACAGTTTCTTGAGGCCTACGATCAAATCTGGATTATTACCGCGAGGGATAGGACAATAAACTACGCTGATTGTTTGGGATGCAATGCAGGCCTCACCGAATCATGTTTGCTTATAGCTAGTGTTCTATTTTACCTTGAGGCCTGGACAAAGGTCGATTGAAAGCTTTCCTGTACACAAACTAAGTGCCCTTTGGTACTTCCCATTTCCGCAAACGAGGTGGAATACTCTCGTGTCCGCGATATTAACTTTAAATCCGCTAAGAAAATGAAAGCTGACCTTGATGAAACGATGGAGAATCTCAATGAGGGACTTCAGGTTTCTGAGAACTCGGTAGTCTTCTCTGGAAGCCGCGTTCAAAAACCGGAGGTGCCAGCGCCGACGCAAGCGGAAATGGAAAACTTCTATTTTGACCTTAACAAAAGCAAAACAAAGCCTGTGTTGCTGAGCTTAGTGCCCCCTGCTGATTCGACATCGAAGGAAATGTCGTTAACCTTCACTCCAGGTTCATCAATTATTTGTTCTTTGGACTCGATTTCTTCCCATAGCTGCCTTTTACATTCTCCTGCGAAAGGTTTCAGCTCACGACCTCTGGCTTTCTCGTCTCGCTTGGCGGCAACTTTAAGATCGGCTTGAAGCTTTTTGAAAGAACCACATTTCTGATGACCTAGATTTTGGGTCGGAAGCAAATCTGGATCGTAACGATCCCACAGTTTAGCAGCTTTTCCGCAGATAAAATGTTTACCACAGACCCGGCCGTGGAAAGTTTCCGTACTTCTTCTCGTCGACTAGTAATGATTAAAGGTATTCTTGCCATATCAATTCCTTTATCACGACCACTTCGGGTCCTAAAGCTAAAAGCGGTTACTGAGGAGCTCTTAAAACCTTCAGTTGAAGAGAAACAGCCTAAACCGACACAGTCAGAGGAT